AGCTTGCGGTGGATCTCCTCCCCACACCACCCGCTCACCGGGCGGCCTCCGAGAGCTTGCGGTGGATCTCCTCCCCACACCACCCGCTCACCGGGTGGCCTCCGAGAGCTTGCGGTGGATCTCCTCATACATGTCCACATTAAAGGTTCTCTGCACGAAGGACAGGGCCATCTTCAAGGCCTCCACCCGCAGCGGGGGGCAGTGGTCGGCGATGAACTGCAGACGCTCGATGCGCATCAGGCCGCTGTAGCTGGCCGCGTACTGCTCCAGGTCCTGGGGTGGGCAGGGGCACAGGGCTCAGGCCAGGCCTGCAAGGCAGGACCCTGGACCCAACCCCAGTCCTGACTGCCCGGAACAGGATGCTGCCCCAGGTGCTGAGGAGGTGATGGAAGAGGGGTAGGGGAAGGCGGGGGTAAAGAGGAGGGAGAACCGAGTATCAGGGGCTCTGGGTCAGAGAGACCCCACCAGGCATGGCTGAGAAGGGCCAACTGTCTGCCCCCCACCCAGGGACGCCCTGTGACTCCGTACCAGGGTGGGGTTCTCCACCACATAGTTGACATCAGGTGCGCTCTGTGGGTCCTCCTGGGGGTCCACGTCGATCTGCATGGGCTCCACCGCCCCCTGCAACACGGGCACCTTGGCATCTCACGCAGGAGAGGCCCAGGAGGGCTGCACAGACCCTCACCACCTCCCACGCTTACCTGCCCCTTGATCCCCGGAGGCACGACTGTGCCCATGCTCTCACTGCTGCACCCCGAATGTGCCCTCCACAGCCCCTCCCCCACGAGTCTCCAGTGTCGAGTCAAGGAGGGCTATGCACGAGCAAAGCCCCTGGCCCAATTCTAACCCTGTCAGGACAGTTACACAGGCCCCTGAAGCTTCCCTACAGGGTCCCAGGCACTGTCCTGATGTGGTTTCCTCAAAGTCGTGGAGAAGCAGCACATGAGACCTTAACCCCAGGAGGCAGGGGGCCTGGCAGCAGGCTCGGGCCAGCCCCTGGAATGTCCCGGAACCTCTCCCGAGCAGCCAGAGCAGCAGTACAGGGTGAGAGTCACACCGCAGGGTGGGGAGGGGATGGAGTCACCTCAGGGAACCCCAGAGGCTCGGGGGGG